CAGAATAAATATGGCAATTACCTTTTTTCTTTTTAAATCCTCTACTGAAGAATCCCTCAGACCGCCAGCATTCATGCCACTTCTCCGTTCTCCAGTTTGTTTGTCTGATATTTGGAACGGGCACTGAACCACCTCCTCTTTGTTCCGTTCACCTTCATCCTGGGTTGGACCGACTGCTAGGATTGTCCCCCAAAATGTTCTCGTTGCTTTATTCTGCCTGTCAGTTTTCGTGTCGGCGTTCTTCAGTCGAATTGGAACTGCATCCCCACACAACTGCACCAACATTTTGAGTAGTATGAAATCCTGTTCAGTTTGTTTCACATGAAGTTACAAAAAAACAAGTAACATAATCGTAACGATAATTTTCCAACAATAGTGTTGATGACACTTAACTTTAAAATTCATAGTTTTGGTTTTTCATGAGTTGATGGTAGTGGTATGTTGTATGATAAAGCTGCAATATTATCAAATAAATTAAACCGATATCATTAATACTAGAAAATATGAGCTATCGTTCACATATTGCGCTATTGTCAAATAGCTATTGTGCAAAAATAGCAAGAAATAAAAAGAATTTAAAAAAATTATTTAAACCGATTTTCAATTACTGACACCTGAATATGTTGCATTCCTTCCTGTTGGCATTTGTTTATAGCCATTTTGTGCACCAAATGTGACTTTTGTTGTTACATTATAATTAAGGGAACTCAACATTACATTACGCTGAAAATTCGCCAGTGTGTCCGAATGACACCAGTCTCCAATGTTTTCGTTTATTGTCAACAAATCAATAGGTCTGAAATTAAATAAATGTTTACACAAATTATTACCAAACTACAACCCAACAATAAACATTTCGATTATTACAATATGGCATCCACATAAAACAACACGAATATTAATTTACTTTATATACCTATGAACAACACTGCTTATATCCAGGAGCTTGATCATCTTTTATGGTCGTAGGAACAATGAGGCATGATTTGTGTGTTGCAGCCGCCCATAGCCCATATAAAAGCATAATGGATTTCTTCCAAGACTTATATTCACGTTCTTCATCACTAAGGAAAGTGCAAATTAAATTAAGTATATTCAATGATACAGAAAGAAAGAAATTTTAAAAATTTGCAGCTTGTCAATAAAAGAAGCAACAGGAATATTTATTCATTATCAGATTCTAAGACTAAGTTTCTTATGCATAATATGCATTGATTTAGATGATAAAATAATGTATATGTTTCACCATCTGATTACAGATGTAAGTCTAACAATTATGTAGGAATACTTTTTGTGAAACAAGGAAAGTATTTCTACACAATTGTTGAACTTACAACTTCTTGTCATAAATGGGGTCAAAATGGAAACCGACATTTATAGTCAACTTCTGTTGTCACTCCATTTATAACAAGTAGTCTAAAAGTAACTTCGGGATCATTATGGTTTTTGCCAATAGGGAAACAGAAAACATATTTCTAAGTAACTGTTCAACTTACAACTGCAACAAGGTTGTAAACCATACATAATTATCTTGGAGCCCAAATCCCCCTAAAGGCTGTTTGAATAGTAGACCATTTGGTATCTCATGATGTTAGAGCAACTGGGCATATTTTGGGAGCTACAGGATCAATTTATGGCCGCGACAGTCAATTCTTTAAAATTTAAATTAAAAATCTGATAACAACATAATTTGTGCAAAAAATTGCAAAATAGTACTTCATTCTAGACAATAGCCACATTAATCAGAAAAATATCTAAACATGTGTATATCATTTTGTAAGAGACTATTTAAAAATCAACAACAAAAACTACCCTTGAAACATGCAGACAAAAAGTATACACTTTTAAAACCATTAGGCCATGAAACACATGTTTACAAACTTTGAAATTTTGAAGTAAGCTTATATAAAAATATTCATTTTTATGTAAATTAAGTCACTAATGATAAATGTTACTTTGGGAGAAATGAACACTTAACCCTCCAAGGACAATTTGATGTATACGTCACAGCAAACAAATTGATACGACTTAATTCCTGTCACTGCAAGTTGATATTCCTTTATGAGCAAAGGTATTATTTTGCAGAGGGGTTGGTTTGTCAGTTTATTGTGCGATCTTGCCCAAAAAAAGGTCAAAATATTTCTTCCCGTGTTTCAAAAATGTGAAAATTTTTCTGACAGACCCTTATCATTGATAAATTGAATTCATAGCCAAAAGTTATAAATTCAATTTTCTCAATGGTATATCTATCACAGATAATTCTAGAAGTAATGAAAATAATTTTATTATTATTATTATTATTATTATTATTATTATTATTATTATTATTATTATTACAGTAAGCTGTGGAGGCATGAAAAGGTCAGTGTGACATATGTCACCCCACAAACACATCCATGCTGAACAAATCCTGCAACCCTCAGTTTTATATCCCAAGTAATAAAGAAATTGGTAGCAACACAATTCATGAAAGTGGTCTTCATATGTCAAGTGACATTTTCATCAACAAAATTATTACCATTTACTAAACAACAAATCTCTAAAAGATACAAAAATAGTAGTATGAAAAATATAAGGATTTTCGAAGTTTTCAACTACAAGATGTGAAAGTTTTGAGAAATGTTGGTAAGGTTAAAAAGAAATGAAGTTGAAATTAGAGCTCTTACGTTGTAGATGCTGGACTATTTGGAACCGAGTCCAGAACATTAACAGCAGCTAATCGTTTCCTCCCAATAACTTTAGGAGGCTCAGCATCATTTGTTTTATCATCTTCGGTGGAAGGTGTTTCAGACCGAAGTTGTGGCCGTTTCTCAGGTTTCTCTTCCTAATTTTAAATGAACAATATACATAATAATTGACTATACCAACAAAACTATAAAAGGGAAAAAGCTTTAAACACAGATATATTACTTACAGAATGTTCAAGTGATTCTTGCTTTGGAACAGTTTCAGACTTTTCAATTTCTTTGAGTTCTTTTCCATCTTTCTTTTCAATTATGGATGTTGGTTTAATTTCATCTCCATAAGATTTCAATTTTGTACTATTTCTGCAAATGTAAAAATAATATATATATTATTTGCTTTATTAACAGCAACTGAGTAGTGAATGTAAAGTTTGATAAATGATTCACACCAAGCATAATTTCATTTATATTTACATAAATTTGCATCAACTAATCGAGTAACACAAGAATCAATTCATGAAGAGGTTTAATGACCTAGAGTGTGTTCCTTCTGAAAAACATTCTAAAACAATGAATTGGAAGGTTATGAATGAATAACAATAATAACAAACAAACAAAATTGTCTTACTTTCATACGTCAATTTAAAATGCAATGGCAAATTAAAAAAAACTTGTTTGACTAATTACAAATATATAAATCTTACTAATTAAGGTATTTTGTCATAAAGATATATTCTCTGCTAAGATTGAAAGGTATAACTTATGTCAGTCTTGGAGATGTTCCACAGTATGAAGTTGCAATCAACTTTTTACTAAAGAATCAGAATACAAATTGCTCAGAAATGTACTGTTTCAACATGTTTTCTAACGGTGGTAGCAAATTATAAATGTAAAGCAAAATATTAATAAACAAGAGAAGAAAATGGAAACAACAGAGGGAACATACATGTTGATGGCCACAGAAAAACATAAAAATTAATAATAATAATAAATCATTATTATTTGATGTAAATATTTTAATTATCACCACATTAAAAAGGCATAAAACACTGTTTCCAACAATAAAAATTAGTTACCACTGTATTGGAAATAACCAAAGCAGAAAATAGGTTGAAAGTTTCTGGTCAAGTAAAAATAATTACACAGTCAGATTGTTTTTTAATAGTAAAAGTGACTATTTCCTCCAGAAATGCGATCAACAGCTGACAAGTTGATCTATCTGCTAAATACATCTGCCTGAAATAGAATGATGGGAGGAGACCAAATCAGAAGGATACAAATTCACGCAATTGAATAATGACGACAGAAAGTATCGCACATGCCTCAAACGAGTGGGAGCCATAATTGCTCAAAATTGTATTATCCACGCACATTTGCTTGAGCCCTCGCATCGCTAGTTGTGAGAGCAGTAGGGAATTGGGTTATTTACAGAAAAGGAATTTTATATCAAACTTGTAGTTTGATTTTCGATGCAAAATAGTTTCTATTACACGGGAGAACTTTTTCTGGCTATCAGATTTTGTCTACTGTGCTCGTTGTTATTATTTATTTTTAATCCAACTAATGTTTGTAAAAGAGTGGGATAGATATTCCGGGGCTCAAGAAAACGTGTTCGTAGAATGAAACTTACCAGTCTCTGTATGTTAGTGAAGAGTTCGAATTGGCCGTGTGTGAGTTCAGTAATGTCACCTTTACAACTTTAAGAGACGTATAGTACTTCTAAAAGAACTGGGGAGCTATGGAACTGGGTTGTCCAACTGGTGGCCAACAAAATGGTTATTAAGTAGGGTCGAATTTTGATGCCTTAAAACATCGCCAAAAGAGATCAATAAAGTGCTCTTAAAATGTATTATTTACCATTTGAATTGTATAATTCTAAAGAACTTGCAACAAGTATTGTACTTCAGCTTCTGGGTCAACGACCCCCATCTCAATCAGGTTTTCGTCCAGTTTCCCTGATCCTCGAGCAAATGCTGAGATGGGCCCTTGTTTTGCTTCTCTACATAAATGTAACTTCAAATTAACTTTTTCCCTTAGCACGACACAGTCAGTTTTTAACTGTTGTTAACATAAATTAATAAATAAATAATTTTTTTCTTAAAGTGCACTTAAAAAAAGATAAATGATGTAAACAATGATCAAAACCCGTCCAGATGAAGAACGCAAGCTGTTGGATACGTTATTGATGTAATCGTGGCTTCTTCCTTTCGTTAAAATTAACTCAGCTGACAAACTTTTGGTTTTAACTGTTCTTTATCGGGAAGTCTAATTATCGCGAAATCGGCCGAACCGACAATAGCCTTGATAGACATCACCAGAAGCTTAGATTACATACAACGGGTCACATAACAATTTCTTCCCACAGAAATCGAATAGGCAATTCAGGAATTCTGTGAAGAAAACAATTATTGTATCTCATAAATATTATTTGAAGTGCTATTAAAATTATATTCGAATCAACGAAATCAGCGAAAATTCTTTAAAAATTACGGGAAAGGGTAAAAAATTACTTATTAGTCGAAATCGACCAAAAATGAAAAATAAAAATGTCATATAAAAATGCGTCATTCCTTTTGTTAACATAAAATTAATGTTTATACTAAAAAGAAATGTTCTGAAGAGAAAAAAATAGCATTTCATAAAAATTCGCCCCCTAGTAATTAGTTAAAACTGAAAGTCCTTAGCATCCATATCTGTCGAAAACATTGCGCGTCCAGCCCATGCGCCTTGTTGGGGCCAACACCCGCTTAATGAAAAATAGGTTTAGTTTAGATTTGTTTCTGATGAGTTCAAAATCATCCTAATCAGTTTCTCTGGGATAGGCATAGTTCCACCCCCACCCCCCGCTTCAGAGCAGGCGGGCAAATTGCCGAAATCAACAAATTGAGGAAAGTCAGGAGTGAATCACCCGAGTATTGTAAATATGGCCCGCAAACATATTAATGATTTTAGTTGGGGCTCTTGAGGCCTTGCAAGTTGGAACCGCTGTTCTTGAAGGAACACACCGTGGTCGATGGTCGAGAATTTGAATAGCCAAATACCCTCGTAATTATTAATTTAGAAATTTTACTTCAATACAACACTTTTTCTTCCTATAACAGCAAATACAAATAAAATAAATGTTCCCCGTTTTGCTACTTTCCTCGCGCAGATCAACTGCAATCTCGACACGTCTCCCCACCTACATTCAGCCCCCATTTCCAAAAGAATTCGGATGGCGTTCGCGTTCTCCACACACGTAATATATTTCTTCGTCTATTTGTACATTTACCACCTTAAAAACATCGCCTTTACAAACTCACAATTCAGTCTAATTCCTTCCCGCAACGTATAGCTTTTCTCTCCACATCTGCTCACTCCCGTGTTCCGAACATCGTCTGCCCCGTTTTTTCATCTCGCGCGCCCCTTCATCTGTCTCTCATCCTGCGCGCGCAAATTATACTGAAACCGTCTCTTCGTTTAACCGCTGGCCGATCTTTCGATTCTTTCTCACACGATCTACTCCTGATTGCGTCACACACATTTAACATTTTAACCTGTTTTTCTATTGGTTTTTACATGCCTTCGCTAAAACTTCTTAAATTTATTTTATGCCCCCACGGAATTACCTTACGTGGTCCTTTCACAGCATTATTTGTTAACATATTATGCATTTTCCCCACTATCAATTCTGTTGTCCTTTTCTTGTAGTTTCCAATATAAAGCTCACCTAGGTTTCTTTTCTATACCGATATGGTTGCTGTCGTCCATATGTATAATTTCTATTTAATTACCCTTGTGATAACTCAGCACGTCAGAAATTATTGATTGATGACAGTAGTAAAGAGGTGAGGTTTCGCAATTAATTTGCATTCGCACTTGCGGAATTTGAAGGAACTGACCCACTGAACCGCCATCTCTTTCCCATACACAATTGCTCGAAAAAATTGGCGAGAGCTATCAGCGTCTTGAATGATAAAGTACTGCCGCAGCGTCTACAACAAAGACCATCACTCGAAGAAGTGCACACAATTTATTGACTTCGATAGTGACTTCAAGATGTAACGGTACCAAGCTTTTCAGCCGCGTAGCAACTCCCCACAATGATCGAAGTGAAAAAACAATGACACCGTGGGAAAGACGGCTATTGAATCGAATAACACTACGAGAAAGCAACACAATATCCTTTTTAACAGGAACCAGAAAGCATTCTACAGAAATCTTTCAAGGGGCAAAGAGCTTGTGTAAGTGATTCGAAAGTATCAAAGCTTTCCTCAAAGGCACTGATAGAAGACTTTTGGAAGCCTATCTGGCCATCTGCAGTGTCTCGCAACCCAGATATGACGTGGATTGAAATGGAATATGACAGACGCCGAGATACCCTAATGGATGAACCAATCAGCATCGCGGAAGTTGTCCAAGCAGCTTTGAACGAAGCACATAGTTGGAAGGCATCGAGCAGGGAAGGCCTGCACAATTATTGGCTCAAAATATTTAACAGCATTCACCATCATACAGCTACCATAATTCAATCTTTTTTCACAATCCAGAATATCTGCCTTACTTCCTCACTGAAGGTAGAACGTTCTTGTAACCAAAAGAGGGTGACACTAAAGACCCCTCAAAGTATAGGCCTGTACCTCACCTTCAAACTTCCAACAAACTCATAACATCATGAGTTACACAACTGATGATGACTCACATTTAGGAACAGAGCATCTTAGCAAATGAACAGAAAGGATGTAGACCTGGATCTCAGGGATGCCGGAGTAACTCATTATAGACTCTGTAATTATTGGGGAAAGGGCTTAAAAAACAAACTTGTACGCATTCTACGTCGATTATGCTAAAGCATTCGACACCTTGCCCTATTCTTGGTTTCTTCAATACTTGGATGTATATAAGGTCCACTCGTTTATCCAAAACTTCCTGAAAACTGTGCTGAGTCAATGGAATACAAAACTATATCGTTCTAATGGAAAACAACCCGCCCACACCTATACTATACACATCCGGCGAGTGATTTTCAAGGTGACTCTGTAAGCCCTTTATTGTTCTGCTTAGCCTTGAATCCTCAATTTACTCTAGTAAATGCAAGTAATTATGGCATTGCTCTTAAAAAAGTGAACTTAATTCTTCTAGGTACTTCGCACCTTCTTTACATGGATGATCTGAAGCAGATCCTGAGAATCATATCCAGCAACTCAGCGTGATGGGAGAAGTTCACTGACGATGTCAAGATGAAATTCGGTTTGGATAAGTGCAGGAGAATGAATACCATTCGGGGTCATATGCAAGTTATAAATTTGGAAAATGATAAAGAAGCAAAGATTACTTACATCAAACCCCATGAAGCTTACAAATACTTGGGTTTCCAACAGCCACTCCGAATCAAACACATTGCCACTAAGAACATACTAACATCTGAAGCGTGTAAACGATTGCATGGACTCTTAAAAATAACTCTCTGCTAGAAAACGTTATGCAGGCCATCAATTCATTTGTTATACCAATGTTGACATACTCGTTTGGCGTTATTAAATGGAGCAATACCGACCTCGGCAATCTCCAAAGGGCAATTCGAACCGGTATGACTTAACACCGAAAACAACATCCCCATTCAAATAATGAACGTTTATCCTTCCAAGATCACAGGTGCGAGGTGTTGTAGATTTCCTAAATCTACACAGCTCTCAAATTGCATCTCTCAGTAGATACTTCCTGGAGCATTGTGAAGGAGTTCAGCAAGCAGTGAGCGCAGTTGATAATAACTATAGTCCTCTAACCTTGAAAAAGACTGATCCGCCTGATCACAGAAACCGAAGAGAAGATAACATCATGGAAAGCAAAGGCACTGCACAGAAGGTACTCCCATGAGCTGAGTAAACTAGAAGTTGGCATCTCTGTGTTGCACGCATGGCTCCAGCACGGGGATCTCTTTCTGGAGACAGAAACCTTCATGATAGCTATCCAGGACCAAGTGGTGCCAACAATGAACTACAGAAAACACATTCTGAGAGATTCTACCGTTCATTCCGACTCGTGTAGAAGATGTGAGGCTGCAAGCGAAACTATCCAACATGTGACAAGTGGATGTAGCGGCCACGCACAGTAGGAAAACAAAGAGGCACGAAGAAGTGGCAAAGTCCACCAATTATTGGCAGTGAAAACGGGCTTACTTGCCACTTCCATGCTGTATTATAAATATGTGCCTCAGAACGTGCTTGATGGTAGTGAGCACACTCTCTACTGGGATCGCTCCATTATTACTGACAGACAAGTCGGTGGCAATAGAGCCGATATAACTAACATTGATAGAAATCGTCCACAGGCTTCCCTTATCGATATATCATTACCCAACACCCTCAACATAAATGCCATGAAAACAGAACTTCCTCTATAACTAACGTGTATAATTTGATTAAATGTGCTTCAGAAGGTCTTGATGTAGAAGTAGAACAACTCATCTGAAAAAACTTGGAAATACTTGTCCATCATATTAACAGGATTATCCAATCCATAATTTTACTCTACTGCAGTTATATTTCTAAAAATTTTAATGAAACATCTTTTGAAATAATAGGTTTAAATCTTCACTTCACTCATGAATTCTTTACAAACAAGAGTGGTAAATGTTTTGACATTTTCTTCTTTGTCACTATTCTTTGGGTAATTTTTAACGAGCCAAAAAGAAATTTTATGAAGAATATTGAACTTTTCATTGAACTCTTTTTGACAAGCATCCTATTTCGATGACACAAAATTGGGCAAATGGAGCCTGGTAGACCCAGAACGCCAACATCCTTATACTTCCGCCTTTCGGTAAACAGTCTGAAAATAAACAATGATACTAGATAATTTCAGTTTCCAATTCCATGTATTATCCATCCTATCAACCTCAAAGTCAACAAACAAGTAGAATACCTCAATGTTTCTTTATAGGTTCTTAGAATATGCAAAAACAGTCTGTCACCTTAAAAAAAGACAACAAATATCTGGAAAGTGTACAAAGATGCATAACTAAACATCCTCAAAATCTACATCAATTAGATTATCAAGAGAGGGTTTAAGAAGATAAATCTTTCAATATTACTTAGTAGACAAGAAAGAGTTAACCTACTAGAAGCCCACAAAATTTTGAAATGTTTTTTCAATTGACAAACTTCTGAGTCCTTGATACAGCAAAGATGAATAATTCTTAATAACTCTAATAACAGAATCAGAACAAAGATAACAGAGTCAGAATCCACATTTTGTGGTTCCTTGACACTGAAAAATTTATTATGGCAAACTATGTCTGTCTCTTTGTGAACAACACTAGCAGCAAAAACATTGGCAAGATTTCCATCAAAATTGATATTGTTTAACTGATCTGCCTGATGTTCTAACCCTTTGTATTTGAAACAGATATTTTGAATTTTAGGGGTACTTTACATAATGCCACAGACACATTTTCAGGATTTTCTCAAAAATTGTTTCCTCAACTAGAGCATGGTTTGCTTATAAAAATTGCACAGGTTCAATTTTCATTGAATTCTCAGAATGTTTGAAAATTGCAAACGTTTAAAATTTTTTCGGTGACTTCTTAAGACTACACTACTGAAGCAACAGATTTTTTTGTTATAAAAATAAGTTCTTCGAACTTGAAATAAAACTAGTACAATTTTCTTCAAAATTTGAGGTTTTTTTTTGCATAATTGTGAGTGCAATAAAAGCAATTTCAAAAACAAGATTTTCTCGAAAACGGCTCCAAATTTTTTTCTTTCATTTTTAATTTCTAGGATTGTTTGAAGTAAAGTTATAAAAAGGGCACAGGTCTTATTTTCTTTGAACTCACTAAATTTTTCAAAATTGCAAAAGCTATAAAAGAAAGTATGTGCAGTTGCAGAACCACTAGTTTCATATTTCAATAGAACCAATTCTTGAGTATTTAACTGACTTGATGTAACATATCTTTGAAACTTACAATAACAAATAGCACCTCCACCTCTTAAATATTAATTTCATTTTTAATCAAACTAGTAAAGTAGTAAACTTAGTAATATAATTAATTACTTACCCAATTATCTTTGATTCTTTCAAAGGCTGTTCATCTTTACTTTTATCTTCCTGTTTTTGTGAGCTGTCTTTACCAAGTTTGTCACGTTTGACCTCTTTACTCTCTTCCTTCAAGGATTCACTTTCTTTTTTATTCTTTTCAACCTTGGCCACTGGTTCAGGTTTAATAGTATCATTGCCTTTAGCTTCATTATCTGCCTTTTTAAGATGTTTTGTTATCTCTCGGATATGAGGTTTCTTCCTGAGATCATCTTTTAATGATTCTCTCTTTTCTTCTTTTGTTATATTACGCTTTAATACTTCCTTTTTAGAAATATCCTCTTTGCTGTCTCTTCTCAATAGTTCTCGTTTGTTAGGAACTTCTTTTGGTCCCTCCTTTACTTGAAGGTCCTTCTTGGCAGAATAAAGTTCTTTCTTCGAAACAGGAATGTCTCTTTTAGAAACAGAAAGGTCTTTTTTATTAGCAGGAATTTCTCGTTTAGGTGTCTCTTTTTTAGGAATTTCTTTAGAAGGAATAGGTTTCTTTATATCCCTCTCCAATTGCACATCATTTTTGACAGAGTCTTTCGAAAGCACAATTTGAACTTCTTTTTTATTACTATCTTTTGATTCTGTATCTTTTTTTATTTCTTTGACATTCAACTCTTTTACCATTTCTTTTGAAGGAGACTGTATATCTTTCTTTAGATTTTCTTTCTTGGAAACATCCTTTTCTTTAATGTTAACCTTCTCTACATCTTTCTTATGTGGTTCTTTTGTTACTTTCTTGCTGTTTTCAATGCTTTTTTGTAAATCTCTCTTAGGAACATCCTTATTAGATACCTTCCCTTCATCTTTTGGTATATCATCACTTTCATGATCTGCTTTTGGCAGATTCTTATCATCGCCCATGGGTTCTTTCTGTTCTTTTGTTGAAATATCGTCCTTTATATCATCAGTAACTTCTTTCCTTCCAGTTTCTTTAGGCACTGGGTTCTTGTTATGTGTATCATTTGTTTCAGTTGGTTCTGGTGGTATATCTTTCTCAGCTCTCTGGGATTCTTTGATGTCTTTCTTTAATTCTTCTTTATTACTTAGGTCCTTCTCGACATCATATTCTGGAGTACTTTCAACACATTCTGGAGTACTTTCTTTCTTCATAGATTGTTTTTTGTCTTCCTTCAAATCAGTATTTTGCAATGGAGAGTCTTGATCAACAACTTCTTCTGTCTCTTCAATAACATCTTTTGCATCTTCTTCTTCCACAACTTTCTCTTCCACTTCGCAAACTTGAATATCTTCAGCATCTTTATTCTCTGATTCTTTAATATCCAAAACTCCACTAGATTCCAACTCAACAGGTGAGTCGGAGGTACTCACTATTACATCCTGTTGAACATCCTCTGACAACTCTTCTTTCTCAGGATCCTCTTCCCCCTCTTCCTCTACTTTCTCTTCCTCATAAACTTCTTCAACAATTATTGATCTCTCAACGATTATTTCACGTGGTTCACTACTATCTTCAATTTCGTAACCATTCTCAGTGGACACTACACCAGAGACACTCTCAGGCTTGTCATCTTCCTCCTCAACCTCTTCTTCCACTGATGGAATGTCATCATTGAGAACATCCTCTTCAACTTTTTCTGAAACGGTATCCCCATTTTCTTCTGCCTGTGCAGTAGCTGAAACACCAGATTTGCTTTTGTTAGCATCATCAACACCTTCTGTACTTTTGCATTCAATCATGGTGTCACTCACTTCAGAGCATGACTCTACAGAGGTTACATCTTCAGGTTTAACAGAATCATTTACTAGTCCCCCTGAATCTTCTTTCATTTCATCATCTACTTTTTCCTGTGTCCCCATTACAACTTCAACAACCTCACATTCTAGTTCTTTCATATCTTCTACAATCTGAACTTCATCCAATCCCTGGACTTTATCTAGAATAATTACTTCCATATCCTCAAGCTCCTGCATGCAAGGTCCACACTCGTCCACAACTTCAGTTTGTATTGTAGTATCTTGGTCATCTGTGATTTCAATTACTTCAGCAACTGCCCCTGACGTCAATTCTTCTTCTGTAGCAGGTACCACTTCCACCCCTGAAGTTTCTTCTGTCACTATTTCCGAAACTAGTTCCTGTGAATTTGTTTCGATTATAGCTTCAATGCATTCATCTTTATTATTCTTTTCTTCTGTAACATTTGTACTTTCAACATTTATTGGCAATTCCGAATTACTTGTGCTATCAACATCTGCTACCATTTCAGTTTTGATGTCTTCTTTCCGTGTCTCAACTTCAGCAGATTGTGATACTTCAATGAAAGGTTCTTCAAGTTTTATTTCTTCTGCATCTTTATTTGGTTTTTCTTTAATATCCTAAGAAAAGAAGTTTAAAGTGGTGTAAATATAATTTGAAAAATTGTTCAAAAGGAAAATTCAATGAAACGATAATTACCTCTTGTTCTGTAGTCACAACAACATCAGAAATTTGGGAGTTGAGTAGTTCAGACTCAATTACTGAATCATCATTCACAACCACCTAAGAAAATATAGAATGTCTCAATATCATTCTTGAATTATGTATATGTTAAAAAACATTATTTTATTTTCATCTAGATATTTTAAAGGAAAAAAAGGAAGGAAGAAAGAAGAGAGAAAAAAAAAGACATGGAGAACACATTCATTTCAATTCATAGCCAAAATAGGTCACCACAAAGAGAATTACAATAAATTTACAATTACTGTAGTAGTGTTTTAGGAAAGCACAATGAACTATGCAACAAAATGAAAAATAAGATAATTCCTTAATTCTTCTTATAATTAGAAACAAATTAATTTAGGGCAACTACATGCAACTGAAAAACTACTTAAGTCAATAAAAGAAATAGAAATCACAAAAGGAACCAACCTCTTCAATTAGAACTTCTTCAATTAGCTCTTCTTTTGTTTCAATGGGCATTTGATGAGCATCAACAGAATTCTGAGTCGAATCAACTTGTAGTACTTCTATGTCATCATCTCTGCTAGTACTGTCTGCTATTTTCACTTCTTCAGTTGATGATTGAACTTCATTACTGTCACTAGCAGAGACTGAAGATGTGATTTTTGATGTTGTTGGAGCTGCAGCAGTTGTAACTGCCCTCACTGCTACAATCTTAGGAGCTGCTGTGGTAACTACAGGAGTGATAGCTAGAAGCAATACGTACAGATGTTTTATGATAGCCTTAATTTACAAAATTAAAACCAAGATCAGTTATTATAAATAACTTAGACAATTCAGGATCCTATTGACTGATAAATACAGTAGGATTTCTTTTGAAACAGGAGAGTTTAAAGTAAATTTCAGAGAATGAAATCGCAGAACAAACATGTAATGCCAGTTAGAAATTATTTTCTATCTCCCTTATTAACATTTCACCTTAATTATTTTATTTCCACACACAAAACGCTCCCTTAAAAATGAAATTATTAAAAATGTATCCATTTGATACATCTTTTAGGATCTCAGTTAATTTCTTTCATTATTATTTGTTTTTGAGCAAACAATCCAAATCACATGTTCAGTCTAGTTTTTCAGCATTTATCTAAGGAAAATGCCACCAAAAATTTTAAAAATACACTCAATATGTAGTTCTCATTCAAAAGAGATATGATGCAAACTAAGGTCTGCAACACTCCCTTTTCAAATAATGGGCTGTTAAACAGTAATTACAATTGAAGCAAAAAGCAACCTACATCCAGGAATTCAAATCACCAGTTTCAATAAACTCAACAAACAAATTATTCAAATAAGTTCAGAAAAACATTTTATAGATTGGCAAAATCTACAGATATACCTTTTTCACTGTGCCAAACATTGAAATGGTTTTACATAATTTTAAATAAAAATAAATCTGCTGTGTAACAGAGCAGTGTTACAAGCCCTTAAGAGGAAGCAGATATAACGATTTAATTAATAAAACAAAAACAGAGCAACAACACATTTAACAGTCACTTGAAATAAGTCCGAAGAATATTGAAGGATTTGAAAATTGCAAAGCCTGAAGACACCTCCTACCCTGTTCTCGTGACAACTTTGTCTCAACTATTATCTTGATAGGCTGCCCTTGGAGAAGTTTAATACTATATGTTCCTTATAAAGTAAATAAACAATCTCCAAGTAAAACATTGTTTTAAATCAATATATTTGTTATCATTTCCTGGGGTTGGTACTGTAAAAATAAACTTTAGCCAGCTGCAAAAACAGATCACTTTGTTAGAAAAACAGTTTCTTTGTTAGAAACCTGTAATTAGTTTCAATGGACACAATTCTCTTCCACACGCTTCTTCAATCAGCAATAATTAAAGGTTAGTCAAAACCAATGAAGGAGATATCAGACATGCCAATAATGCTGATGTAGTTCCACCATCACCTCCAACACCCTTGGCATTTAGCCTGAGAAACATGCAGATAGAACACTAAGGAGTTAGAGAAATAGCAAGCACCTGACAACTAAAATGATAAACATCCACTTCTAGAAACAAAGTAATTCTTGCTGGAAATGTGTGTTAGGGTTGCTGCCTGATTTACAACAAATTCATTTGAAAACACAGAGGCTCTATTCAAATACTAAACAAATTTGAATGAAATTTCATGTCAAATAAAAAGCATGCTTTTGAGAGTCAAATCAATATAAATAACTAGCTAACCTCCACTAATCAAAGGCATATCATCTCTTTGAATTGTTATTCAATGCTTGAATAAAAGAGCATCCCAAATTAAATTGTTTTTGTTTCTGGATGATGATAGTTGTAATGATGAACACTATAAATCCCTGTTACAGTTTTGAATCATAAATTTACATATGTTTAGAATTATCCATTCATCTACTGACACGTGAATTTGCAAATGAATATAAATGCATGATCAAGGTTTGCAAAAACTTCTCTTCATATGATAACCTACTTTACTTGCTGTCTGATAATTCTTCAAAAACAGGTTTTGTTTTAAAATTTCTTGTATTCACAGAATACAGGAAGTTGTATGATGTTGGAAAAAAATAAATATCGAGAGTACAATGAATACACACATTGAGCTGAAACTGTACACTCAACTCTTTCGAAAACAGGAAAAGGAAGAAGTGCGAGGAAAGTACGCTTCTGAGCTCCAAGGATGTGGATTGTCACATACAAATCTAAATGACATGTTCCATCTAGATCAGAAAATGGAGGTATGCTCCAGCAATTTAGCTACTGTGATCAGTAAACTGAAAATTATTTAAATATTTATTTTTAACTACAGAAAGATGTAACTGTATTTTAAGAAAGAAAGAGGCAGGCAAAAATGCATTTATCTTTATAATATAGACAAGATAAAAGGCATTTATTCTAGCTAAAGTAGGGGTGCAAAAGGGCATGAAAAATCGCATTTAGAAGCAATTATTGTAAAACAATTAATTACTAAAACGATTCAAGTCTGTATTCTATCTCTACAATTACAATAGCTCTTAATGTGTAAGGAAAAGATATTTTCTTTGTAATCTTGTTTCTACATGACCATCCACTATGACGGCTATGCATTTGTTTCATTTGCAACACTGCCTCTTTGAAGGGATATTGTAGATTTCATTAGCCATCTATCGCCACCCAAAGTACATTTTTTGAAACATTTTCTTAATATATCAGTTTTCTAATAGTAAAAAGGAAATATTATATTAAGAATATTAAAGGACAGTAAAAACTCATCCAAATGGCAATTTCCTTTGAAAAACATGAAGCCATTATTAAGAAAAAGATGCTTAATCTCTACTGTAAATTTGAAATTTGAAGCTCTTTTTCACAGAAAATTTTTGAATATTCAAAAACTTTAATTGAAAGTCATTTGACACACATTCACTCACAAATACAATAGTGTTTACAAATTGGTGGAAATGTGCATATTAGCACCATGAGAGATCTTTCAAATAAATTACATTTGTGTAATTTTTTAACAAACAACTGAATGCAGCAAAATTAATTCTATGCCATCTTAAATAGTGCATTTAGTATTATACATTGGAAACCTTTAAAGAAAAAATTTAAAGACCTTTTCGAAGAAATGGATTTGAGCGTTTCTAAAAATGCACAATTATGAGCTCATTTTAATAGAAAACGGATGAGTTTTCGAGAAATTATATATGACATTATTTAAAGCACATATACTCATAAACATAATTTTGAGAAAAAATTGCCGCTAATTTAAATAGCAACAATGTAGTATAGTAGACAAGTAAAAAAATTACATTTTTGTAATTTTAGAAAAAACAAAAGAATAGAGCAATATGGTGTTTGTCATCTTATAGAGTGCAATTGACACTATTCCTACCAAAAGATGTAAGTAAACTTGGAGCAATTTTAGGGAAAATCTTGTTTTTTGTAATTTTTTATAATTGCGGATATTGCTCAACATTCATCAATTCTTTTAAAAAATGTACATGACTTTGATGAAAAAACTAATTATGGGCAAAAAATTTCATTTGAAGGAAAAGTCTTAATCTTCAATTTGTAGGAATATGACGAAAGAAAAATCAAATTTTCTGAAATGTTCAAAAACTCAGAGTTACCAATGAAAATCAGACTTATGCCACCTTTATAGGTGTATTTTACTCTCTTCTTACAAGAAAAAATTGAAGCCATTTTTGAGAAAATTTGAAAAACGTCCGGGAGGCTACATGTAAATTACCCAAATTTTAAGAAAGTTTTTCAAAATTTGACTCAAGCCAGATGGACAGGGTTTTTTTGAATTAGGTGTTTATGTAGTTTAAATGCAAAATTTATTAGAAGATCAATTAAAAAATCAACATCAGAAAAAACATCATATTAGAAAGAAAAAATCGTTTTTTCAATATTGTAGTTTTAAGGTTTTAGGAAAACACCAAGAAAATGACAATCTTTTGTAATTTAAAAAAATTCAGTCAGACCTATGTCATATTTTTAAGTGTATTTCGTTGCATTCTTACAAAAAAATTAACAGAAAAAAAATTGAAGTCATTTTTGAGAAACTTTTGAAAATATCTCAGGTGCTACATGTAAAGTACTAACAAATTTCAATAATGGGAGGAATGTTTACTTAGGAAAACATCCTACGATTCATTTAGGTTATTCACAGATGGAGGCCCAGACATTTTGGGGAGGGAGAAAACCCTTTTTCATTATCCAGAGACCCCAACACATGCATTTCCATTGAAATCGAAATCTCAAAAATTATTATCTGCAGCATGTACATAAGAAAGAAAAAAGTTTTGAAAGGGAGAACATGCATCTCCAATGATTTTCAGTAATAATGTGTTAGGTGCTCAGGTATTATTACATTAGTAATCAAAGCTAATTTGATTAATGCAAACAAAATATAATCCACTTAAAGTTAGCATTACTATTGTAAGAACAGTTTTGTCTCAGATTATTGTGTCATTACGAACAAAGTTATTTTCTTAAGTCATATTCCTTTCTTTTATAATTTGAGCAATTTAAATTTAAATTGAAAAATAGATCAGACAAAAGTAGTGTTGTACTTTTTGTAGAAAACAAATGGAAAGTGAAGCTTTAAACATTTTGGAAAAACGTGTTCTGGAATGAAGCATTGTTTTTGTTGCTTCCATTACAAAGTATTATTTATAAATGCAGTGCTCTCACACCTCTAATTTTTAAATTTTAGTCTACAATCTTGTTAATCCAAAAGTATATCTCAAAACCTCTATAATTCAAATAAAAACTCCTCTTCCTTTCAATATTAAATTATCGAAGTTTGACACCATAATTGGAAATAAAAAACAATTGTTTCCAATTTGGTATTAAACAAGTATGTACGTCATTCTTTTTAAACGTTTCAAAATATAAAAGTATCAATAAAGAACAACTTCATCAACAATTTATGATGTGATTGCATTCACGGTTATCTACCCTTTGAAATGAGATGATTTCAACTGAAAAAATTTATGAAAATAAGTTGTTAGTTTTTTAAGGTTTTATCTGCCTTCTGCTACAAGGAGCAGATAACATACTGATGTTGCAATCTGTGGACAAATAGCGACTTTAAAAATCACTACAGTAGGTGGAGAGATGTTAGAAGTTGAGAGACATTGACATCAATTTACTCGAAACAAATGAAATGTAAGTTAGAATAGAACCTTGTCGTTCCAAAGGGTTAATATAATAATGCCGAAACAAAAGCACACATTTTAATGTAAGAAAAAAGAACAACAAAACAATTCCAATCCAAACATTATATATGAGTAAAATAAATGAAATGTTTAACAAACTTAAAAACACAGTCTACCATTCACAACATTCTGCAAAAGTAAAAGCTAGCTCATTGTACATCTCACCAAAGTACACATTTAAAAATGATAAAACATCCTTCAAGACAAGTCCTGAATTCATTATATAGAGACACAAGCATTTGACAAATAATTAAAATTTCAATAACTTTTCCATTTTGTCTCAACTGGGAACTTCCATGTTGAAATATAAAGTTCTTACAGATAAACATAGTAAGATAGATATACATAAATACATACATACATAAATAGCACTGCAAAAAGAAACTTTTAAAAGATGGCAGAAACAAATAGAAAGGTGCACAACACATACACATATTGAACAACACAAGTTATATTACAGATCTTACCTGTAGACACAATGGCGGACACAGTGCTAGGAGGTAAAGTGGTGGTTTTGGCAGCACTAGGCAGTTCAGGCAGAGGCTTGCCAGGCAAGCTGGGCGGCAGTTCAAGCAACATGGACAGTGTGGGAGCGCCTGTTGAAGGACAAAATATCAGGTTTCAAGCAGGAAGGTATTGGAAGTTTTGCGAAAGGAAATGAGAACCATGCGATTTCATAAGATGGCTTTGAAACTTTTTTTACACAAAAACTTTACTGATGCGTGAAAATTGAGCATTCATTATATTCACAATTGCACAAAGTGAAAAAGTGGTAGTTTGTAATTTTAAAAAAAAATTCCATGACACTATAGATTCTAGTTTTTAGTCCAAATCTGTATTAAAATTAGTGAGGCCTAAAGCCTTTAAAATAGCAAAATATACACAGCATATAATCTTCACACAATATTTTGGGAATTGATTTTCTACAATCTAATTTTAAATTATTTCTTTCGTCTAATAAATGTGTCTAAAATATTTTCAAAAACTATTTTTAAGATGAAATTTGATCTTATTATGATGGAATATGTTTTTTATATATAATATATCTTATTTAGAACATTAATCACATTACAGTTATAGTAATTACAATAACGGTTAGTAATGAACATAATAATTGATCCACAAATTATTGCGCTTTTAGAACACAATTAGCCAAGCCTATAAACAGACATTTCAAATTTAAATGAGATTTAACAACTTCAAAAATTGTTAATATATACAAGAAAGAAAATAGTGCTAAATGGCATAAATTGGGAGATGGGTGGATTGAGAAAACATAAAAAGCAAATAACAAAACCAAGAAAACAGAAAAGCACACAAAATAAAATTCATATTACTCATGTGTACACACAATCACACATCAGCACACGCAAACATGGCATGCAGACATACTAATTAAGTAAAAACAAGAGAGTCAATTTCTTCACTTTTTCTTGAAAATTGATTTCATTATTACTTTTTTTTTACAAATTTCAATGAAATGGGGAGAAAGTCTGGTGCACAACACTATTTGTGCACATGATTCTTGCTTTTGCCCTTACAAGAAAGCAAATTTTAATTAAAAAATTTTGAGTTGAAATTTGGGGAATTAAAAAAATATCAAGAAGGAAATGAGTTGTAACCCTCATAATGATGTATCCGCTACTCACAACTGAACAGATGTTAAACATATTTCCAAGAGTTCACAATGGCCTTTAAAATGGACAAACACAATTTTAAGACACATTATTTTTTGTTGGAAACCATCTTCCGAATATCAGTTTTCATTTAACACTAAAATCTTTGTGAGAATATAATACCCTTCCCTATACTAAATAATAATATGGTAAGTAAGAAAGAAAAGATGTGATGCTTTATTTAAAGGTTCTCGCTAATGAAATGGAATTATTTCTCACCTGCTGCAGGAGATGGATTGTGTGGAGGAGGCTGGTGATGAGGTTGTTCAGAACTGATAGCGCTGGACACCAAATTCTTGAGACTTGATGACACTGTGGTAGGTGGAGCAACAGTAACCATGTTTCCTGTACCAGGCACTCCAGGTGCTGAGCTCAAAAGACTAGTAATAGTGGGTGAAGCCCCACGATGTGATGTAATGGCTGAATGTAAAATTGAAGATCCCTAAAGGGAATGCAAAATCGAAGACCCTTTACTTCAAAATTCAAATTCCTTAGTATACCAAAAGCAGAGGTAGAAACACAAACACCATTAATCCTTCAGTGGTCTGGCGGAGTTCGTCCAAACAGAAATTATTACCACACCATATTTACTCGAATAAAAGACAAGGTTCTTTTTCCTAAATTTCTTTTCCAAAAATTAGTTTCATCTTATATTTACAGATTAAGCCCAGTTAGTGGGATCCATGTTTTTATATTGCCCTTCCAGGTCAAGAAACTGAAACACTGAAGTAACAAAAAGCTGCAAATATGATAAATACCATGAGCATCTGAAATATCTAATTACATTTGTGGATATATTTTTGGCATCCACTGCAGTTTTGACAGGCGATTACGACCAATACTTTTGTATGGGCATGTAAGGACAAAATCTCAAACAAATAGCTTTATTATAAGTAAAATTTAATATTAAAAAAATGTTAAGGTTTTCTTACATCAATGTGCTGGCTGAGACTACACACGCAAGTACAAATCTGCATTTAGTAAGAATTCAAAAGGAAATTAATACAAGAACACAGTTTAAATTTGACCAGAGACAGAATTAAAAAGCAAAATATTTCTAACATTGGAAATTGAGCTCTCACCTATGCAAAGGAGGGAACATTACTCAAAGGTGAATTTCGGATTCACTCATGGACGAATTTCCAGTTCACAACTCGAACACGCAAATGTTCAATGACGGGAAATTTAAAAGTTAATGGTTGTCAAAGAAGTCGATAGTAACTGTGTGAAAGGAAGAAAATCTGATGACGCAGAATGTTCGTAGATGTCATCACATTAAACCTAAAAACATAAATTCAATGCACAAAACTTTCAGGGAGCTGCAGAAAAGGCAGACTCAAGTAGCAGGGGAAAAGGATAGAATCTATGATGTGAGAAGATGATTGTAGTAACAAAAATGATGATCATGATTTTATGCCACATTAAAAAAGTGATAGTCCAGACAAAAAGATTAACCTTATCAACAAGACAGTTCAAAAGTCAGTAAGACAATAAACAAGTTGATTTTGATTGAATAGTACAATTTCGTTAAAAATGAAAAAGATTTTCAGAAAGCCTCTCCAAAATTAGAGAGTTGTCTTATAGTTGGGTAAATATGGTACTTTGACAATATTTTGAAGGATGGCATTATTTAAAACTTCCAGTTCTAAGTCCCTTTCAAAAAACATTTAAGAGTCAAATTCTGTGCATATTTCAGTTTTCTTTGAACTTCTGTGAGTCAACCTTCAAATTCAGTTTGTGTGCAGTTGTTTTTTTTTTTCTCTCCCTCAATCGTTCCACAAATCCTTTTGTTAAGACTTTTTCGATTTGGCAGTCTTGATAGCGAGGTAAATTACAACAGATTTATTTACAATTATTCAAGTGCTTGGAATTGTTCATGCACTCAATTTGTTGTCTCAAGTTTCAATTTCAATTCCACAGTACTATTCTCATACCATCACATCCTTCACACTAGAGCGTTTTTTATAATCCTATATCTAACAAAATGTATAGGAACAAATCTAGTTTATTTAAAATTATTGAGTTAATTAACAATTTTTTTAGCTCATTGTGATTCAAATTTAGAGTTATCAGTTGACTCCCTAAACTCCCTTGATGGGAAGAGTATAAATTCTGTTAACACATGCTTTTGAAATTTAATTGTAATTCAGATATTCCTTTAATAGAGTAACCTGCTTGACTTTATTACATCAAAATAAAATAAAATAAAATAAATAAAATATGACTAAAATTTAATATATTCTTCTTTTGTTGTTTCAAAAGTTTTCAAACAATCAGCAGAGTATATTTGAAATTAAAGAGAATATTGTCTACAAATAGAAAGGATACTGTCATCTAATTCTCTGCATTTACACACAAGTGTTTGTTTGTCTTCCATTCAAACGCACTTCATGATTTATTCTTTAAGAGAAAGGTAATGGGCCCTCGATGTGTTGCCACTTACCAATAACCAGTTTTATAACAAAAATTCTAAGTTTTATGTTATTTAAAATTAGAAGAATGAACACTAATCGGACATCATTTGTTCATGTCATCTATTTTGTAGAGTTGCAATTGATCCATTAAACACTGATTTTCATCTAGGGCAAGCAAACATGTTAGTGTAAGATTATTGTTATATTTTCACATAACATTCAACCCTGTGTTTACTGTGAATTGTGATTGTATTGTTTCAGGATTTGTAAACATTTCTCATTTCATTAGTTTCACAAAATAAATACTGAACGACATAAATTTAATTCATTAATAAGTATGTTTGAGGTTTTCAATTTCTCATAAAGGGCCCACTCACAACTACTTTAATTGCAACTCTTCCTTTTGTGCAATGTTTTCGCAAGGGTTCAGCTAGTAATTCACAACGTTCTCACTTACATATTAATAATTCACATGTAATTTGGACACAATACCTATGACTATTTTGTCTTTTGTCTATTTGTAAGAATATTTAACTTTTTCAAAAAAGTAATTGAAATTTATCCAGTTTTTTAATACACTTTTCTTTTCACATTATATAATTAATCTAATGATATGGAAGCCTTTTCCTTATATGTATACGTCTTTCATTCATAAATTATTACTTGTGGATAGATTTTCATGTAAAAGAGAAATAAATAAAAATCTAGATCATTACATTTGAAACATTAGAAAAGTTTGAAGGAAATTGTTGTATCAAACACTAATATATTGCAGATTTCAACTTTACTATTTCAAATTCCTACCAAAATTCCTAGCTTTCAGAGGGAATCATCATCTATAAATTATGTACCGCTAAAGAGGGAGAAAGGGGGTTTGAGGCAATGTTACGGTGTGGTACATGGGAGTTGAGAGTATTAATTTAGTGATATGTAACATTGATTTATTTTAATTTTTCAACATTAGGTGAAACAACTCTATTTTTCTGTCTTACACCAAAACATTAAAATATTAATTAACTACTTTTTAAAAAACATAAATTAAAATTGTTATGTGCAATTTATTACAATAAACGGAAGTCTTTTTTAATAAGTTTTTATTGAATCTGCAAGATTACAAAGAAAATATTCAAAATTAATCTATAATATATTCTAGAATCCAATTAAATTGGCGCAATAGATTGTTGCTCATGTGTAATCCATGATGATGAGTGCACGGTTGTAAGGAATTTTCACTTCTGTGCATCCTTCCTTCACACACTTGTTCCAGATCTCATTGTTAGATGTAGTCAGCTAATTCTGACTTCAATTAACATAAATTGTAAAATATAACACAAATGAAATTAATACAAATTGTTTTCCAATGATTTTTTTTTTTTTTGCTCGTAAATGGGGGCAGGTGGTGTTTTCTCAAGCATTATGTAATTATTTCAGATGGTTCAAGTGTACGTTATAGATGCTACAATGCGGGGAGAGGGTATTCAAAATACTCCAAATTTGTGATATGTAATGGCCTCAGGAAAAATAATTTCAAATTTATGAACTTCAAACTTTTAAATCAATGAATTCAAATTTTGTCTTTATTGCAAGAATATTCAACTTTTTCAAAATATAACTGAAATTCATCCTGTTTTTGTGTAGTTTATCCTGTTGGACAGTGAAACTTCACTTATACATTTTTCAGAGGACTGAAGGGAAAAAATATATAAGTGAGAAAAACCCATAACTGACATTGATTACTACGAGCAAAATAAAGACTCAATATTTTAACACCACTGTTTTCTCAATCCTTTAGCAATATCTACCCTTTTATTGCCACTTTCCCTATCGACTTTTTAAAATTTTATTTTATATGATAATTGACGAGGGGCCTATTCCTACCAGTCTTAGTAATTCAATATTGCAGACACAAAACTAGATAGAAGATGAATTATCTCTGATTTAAACATAGCGCTTCAGAGCCACAAATTGCAACGTTGGCCAGCTTGGAAAAAATATTGTCGTTGATGGTCATCATCGAAGATGTCTCACAAGGTGGAGGTAGCGGACACGCACTGAGGACCTGACTAATGACCTTATGTGACTTTCATGGCAGAAACGAAGGCTGTGACCTGCATGGGCTAAAACTGGCAACAGCAACCTGCGGCTGGTTGCTTCCATTTCAAGATTGATATTACTTGAGATTCCAAGGGTCAAAATCCCTGTGTTCTACGTGGGCGACAGGAAGAGTACGACTACCACAACCTGGTGACACCCACTGCACCACGGGGAAAAGTGATTTTTTCATTAGCTGCTTGGCACTTCTGGAAGGATCTCGTACGATAATTATGACAAGTCGCCTCACAGGCTGCGCGATAAGTCCCTACGCGGGAGCGCTCTGAAGTGTGGCGACTCTATTAACATACAAGTTTCTGGCCCTCGGCACAGATTTCCCCATGTCTCACCGGGATCATTTGAACGTTCTACGGTTTTAAAGGGACTTTTATTATGAATGTATAAGTGTGAAAAACACATAAACATAAAACATATAACTGAAAAAATTTAGCATGTGTATTATAGGAATTTTATTAGGTACCTACCAACAAAAACGTATAAACGTGAAAAACATGCAAACAGAGATTCATTATATTCATTTGTAAACATATGTACAAGAAATTTAGATCCTGCAATTGTACCAGATCTTATTAATAATTGATTTATCTCAGAATAACAAAATTTCATTCCAACAAAATAATTTTTGGGGTCCTCACAATTTTATTATGGTATTGTAATGTATATTGAAATTTTATCTTTACTGGCACTCTTGCTGATTTATGGTCAAATTAGTTTCAGTCTTATCAGACTCGCTGTCTCGGCCAGTTAGTTTTGGTTAAGAATAAGAGAAGCTGATCTGCTTGTTGGTATGCCGTTGTGTACCTGCATGCAAATAAGATGAGGGATCTGCCCTGCTCACATAAAAGGACAAAATTTACTCTATGTACCTGAGAAGCGGGTGCTGGCGAGGGACTTTTAAGAAGACTGGTAAGTAATGGTGAAGTTGGAGTTTGAGAAGGTTCGGGTTCAACTGTAGCTTCTTGAACAGTTTCTTCACCAATTACCTAAAATTTAAAAAAAAATACAAATTAGAAAAGGTTAAATAACAAAACTATGTTTGAATTCCACAACCAACTTACATCAACATTAAGAGGTTCACTTAGTGGGCTATCTAAAGCACTCTCTGCCTCACTGCTTGGTTCAGATTGACTACTATTACGCCGATGTATTTTGGGATGATGCTTCCTTCTATGAGGTGATGCTGGAGCAACTGAAAATTATCATAGATAGTGAAGATCAAAAGAAAACATTCTTTGAGAGAAAAATTACAAAAGCAAAATAAAGAGAAACAAACTATATGGTTTTCAGGCCATCACAACTGAACTGATGACTTCAAAAACAACATTAATTTGATTCCAGATAAATTAAAAACACAACAAGAGTTACAAGTAGTTTTGATGATGGAATACTTACTACTCAAGTTCAACACAAACCATTTTTATGAAGGAAGATGAATTTAACATTTTTTTAACATTAGGATCAAGCCTATCAAAATTGCACCTTCAACTATCTCCTAAGTTCCATTACTACCACAACTATGCAATGACTCAATTTAAATGTTCAACTGTAATGTGGCTGAACTGCACTTCACCACTTACTTTAAAATTAAGATATTTTTGTGTATAATTTGTAGATATTGTATATACTTGTAGTTTTATAGTTATAACAGGTGAGCTTTCATTGAATTGGGTACAGTATAAATTTATTTATTATTTTTGTAATTTTGCGAAAATAATTTTGGCTTAATGAAATATTTTTTTAATTAAACTTTCAGTTGCACCTGAGAGACAGAACAGTCTTCAAAACATCTTAAAAATATACACAAGTGAATAAAATTATTATGTAATTATGGTTATCCATAATTTAAAATAAGGGTCTAAACAACAATTACACAGAAGATGAATTTAGTAGCAATTTATCAGTATCATAAAAGGAAATTAATGTAAGAATTATGCCTTAAGTAGCTTTGCAGTAATCAATATAATTTAATGTTTATTCTTCCTATTGAAAGACTTTTCTGTTACTTAGTCACATGTGCAGCAATATAACATATATATTAAATAATCTCCTAAGTTACACTTGAGTATAAATGTTTATCGTCAGTTAGCTTCTTACAAGAATATACTCTATTAAATAATATCTAATATTTGAGGTCTAACGACACTTATGCTAATCTAGAAGGTCTACATAATAAACGTCTACACATCATTCTAGTCTACATGAAAAATGTCTAATGCAAGTATGTCTACAAGCAAAAATGTCAACGGCAATGGTGTCTACATGCAAAAATTAATATTGCAAATATGCCTACATATAAAAAGGATCTAAGTATGAAACATTGATAGACTTGTTAGTAAGAATAATTATAGATGCATGTTTCACTTGAAAAACATATTTATAAAATATATGCAGTACATGAATAGGTCAGAATTTCATTAAAATCAGTCATCAGATTCTTCTACTTCATCTGCTTGCAAGTTCAAGCGATAACTTCATCTTCTCAAGTAGGTGATTGTTTCATTTCCTTGTCTATAGTCTTCATATTGCGATACCATTATTTCACCTTGCTCCGTGTGGGCGTGACTCAATTTTTTATTCTTACGTGTCCTGCTAGAAGTTGTGTTATGAGGATCTTGTTGTTTCTCAGATGGTGTTTAATATAGTCTAGAAATTTCCTAATGCTTACATGGTGAATCACAATAAGTTTTTAAAACTTGCTATGCCCTCCTTCGATGTTATTTATGGTTCTCTCAAACCTGTTAAACACCAAGTCGTGCCCATTCCAGGTATTGCTTGTCGCCTTCCCTCTTTTAGGCACACCTTTGATGTATGTCATTTCCATAATGCTGGCTATTGCTATGACACTTATGGTTTCGTACCCTCGAAGACTACATTAAACATTCATCACTTTCGACAACATCATTAAGATATACGAAGGGCACTGAACCTCGTGTTTCACTGCTAAATTTTCGTCTTATACATTTCTGTTAGACTTTTATCTAGTAGACATTTCGCTGATAGACTTCTTAGTTAGTAGACATTTTTGTTGGAAGACATTTTAGCTGTGAATGTTTAATCACTAGATTTAATATAGAATGTAGATCACATTTTTATTAGACATTTTTTCTATTAAACGTTAATACAGTTAGACGTTTTTCCTTTAGATCTACTGACCTTGAAGCATATAAACACAGAACATTAACCCTTTGATTCCCGTAAACTGTCTTACACCTAGTAAAAATAATTTTTGAATATTTTTCACTCTAAATTGATCATATATGACTGAAAACATGAAATTTTAAAAAATACATGAATTTGTTTCACAGTTACGTATTGTATCACAGGAGATACAATGGGCGTCAATGGTCACTATAATCCTGAACAGAGGGACAACACGGTTTTTGTACATAGACAAAATTATTATACTGATGAAAACAATTAATATACTTTTTTTTAAATTAAAGGAATACTTAACATTTTGTATATTTATCAACGTCCAAGAGCTAACGTCTTCACATTTCCGACAACGCGTCCACATTGTGTCAAAAACCGGCCAATTGTCAATGCTGTCACGTCCTATGTCATTGAAAGGGCGTCCCTGGGTTACCTTTCTTTCTTCGCAGGAATAGGAGAAAACAGTGGTTGCCCAGCTTGTTTTTCTGGAGGGATAGCTTTCACATTATTGTTCATCATAGTAGGAAGAGGCCACACTTTCAATTGAGGGTAATAATCTGCATGGTCGTGTGCATAATCTGCATGGTCTTCAGATTTGCTTTGTTATTTACGTGAAAATAGCACTTTATGTCTTCAAATCTGTTACTCGAAACGTAATCTGAGACAGCTGCAAATCTTGATGCAGATTTCCATGTCATCCTGAAAGATATTTAGTAAAATGTTATGAGAAAATAAGTGATAACTGGGTTTATTTTTTTTATGCTGTTACTTGTAATGAGGTAGTTTTATCACACCCAAGATTGAGTAAAATTGCCACGTACTGCTCCCTTTCTGAGCGCTTTACTTTCAACTCAACCCCAGACAAGCTAAGAGAATATTAATTGATTTCTTCTACAAGAATGTCAAACATTTCTGATGAGAAAAAACTGATAAAAATTTCAAAGGACTACTTATGTCCTCCGATGGTAAAGGCATGAGGAAATTTGTAAGGCATGTTTTTAGTGTCAATTGTTGCTTTCTTCAAATCAAGGAAGCTCTTTTGGAGTCACCTTCGATTGGATTTGTGATTGTAGGCAAGTACATTATATTCAGTGATAGGGGTTTGTTTCATTATTTCACTGTTATAAACAGGCGCTTGAGTATCATAATAAATAATAATAAAAATTAAAATAATCATATGAATAATAAATAATGCCAATTATAGAAGACTATCTAGAAAAGTTTCTGCATTGCATTTCATGTTTACTTCAAACTTAATAAATCATCTTTGATGATCATCATCCGAATCACTGTCTTCCTAATTCTCATATGAGGAACATACGTTTGTCAAAATCAGACATCACCATCAGCGTCAAATGAGTAACCATCTGGCAACTACAAAAGTTCTGTAATATTCTCTTCTAGAAGAGCCATATTATGGAAAAACGATACTTCACACAATAATTTTGAACATTCTATCTATACCCAATGTATCTTAGAATATACACGAAAGTTTAACCTGTGTGTAAAATACTGATTCGCCAAATTTTTAATCAATAATTCAAACCGTGTATGTTATTATGTTGTTTCCTACCTCTCAAAAGTTTGCAAAAGAGAAATCACTATTACTCACAAAACAAGAAATATAAGTAATGTCTCAAAATAATTTCACACACACTCTCACATACATTTGGGGGAATTTTCGGCAAAAGTACATACCATGACGTTTGTTGTCGGGAATTGAATGCTGACTGTTCCAGTATACATGCGTAGCAGGACCAAAGTCATATCATAAAACAAAATGACCCTACTGTAAACCAACATATTGTATCTCCAGTGACATAGTGGGCATGAAAGGGTTAAGAAATATGGATGTAATCAAGTCTTTCTTTCGTTTCATTTCAAAACTGTTCATTTTTGTCTTCTTCTTCTTTTGCTGCTGCTGCTTCTTCAATGGTTGTCTGTCATTTTAGATCAAAACACCATGATCGAAATTGTGGTTACATTCATTGGCAAAGTTTTTCCAAGTCTTGAACTTTTGATTTCTTTGTTGACACCTACCCTCTAGGACATGACTACTGGATTATTATTAATATGATTACACTCTTAGATTTTTTCACATTAAATATATATAAAGATAACCAGTCAATGAAGTATTGCACAGAAACACTTTCCCTTTTTCTCTTTACTTATACTTGAAAATTATGAACTCAGGTGACAATTAATTCAGTTACTGCAAAGGGCTTTGCAGTTTCTGGTAGTGTTTTTATTTTTGCAGCATGTTTCCTGCATTTAATACAGGTACCAATAGTTGCAACCACATGTGTTTAACAATAAAATGCTCATTAATCAAGACTGCAACTTTACCAGCATGGTATGCCAAAACTGCAATGATTTGCTTTCTAACAGTCGGCATTATAGAGGTTTGGAATTCACAAGTGACTCGCAATATGCAAAGGATTCACAATTCACCTGCACTATTATGTAAACACAGTAACTCATGCACTTTTGCCAGTTACTGATTGAACTTCAGATGTTATTTTTTATTTGTGAATAGGCCCAGATATTATTATTCTACTAGAGGTAATCCTTACAAAATGACAGGTTGAAATTAAACCCTTCCAGTAATGATGGACAAAAGAAGAGAAATAAAAAATTTAAAAATTGAAAGAAAAAACAAACTTAAAAACAAAACCCATTGCGAGTTGCTTTTCCCCATGAAAATATCCCCATTGCAATTGGAAAATTAGCAACGAACATGACAATCATCATTGACCAACAATCATAACTCTTATTCTCATTAGCACTAAATGAGTTAGTTGGAATTAATTAATTCTGCTGCAGATTTTTGATGACATAGCTCAGCTATTTACTTGTAATTGACAAATATTTTTATTGCTAATTTTAGTGGACATAATCTGAATTTCTGATTCTATGAAGTATATCAATATTTGTAGCATTTTTAAATGAAGGTGGTTGCAGGTTACCTAGGGACAGTTCCAGGCTTTAATAAGAACCATGTCCCTGAGTCAACCATTACAAATTGTGTTCAACATATTCCTGAAAATTATGTTGGGTACCTGAAGTGACTTTGGTACTTTTTAACAGATAATATTCAAGAATTGTTATGTAGGTAATATTTTGATTAATTTAACTTTGCTTATCTATGATCCTTTGTCATTAGGGTTTCAATGATTTAAATCACAATTCACCAAAAAACACATTGATTTTCATCAAAAATATAATTTATTGTAAATTTTACAAAGAATGATCAAAAGTTCATCAAATAAAAGGAAAATATATTCAGAAAACTATGAAGAAAATATTAGAAAGAAGGTGAGGAATATTTTAAGTAAACCAAACTTTGTGCCAGCCAAAGTGTACATTGACATTACCCCTTGCAAACCCCAACATTAACCCTAATGATGTACATTCACATCATTTTCAAATGATGAAAAAGACGCTGTGATTTGTGATTCCTATAAACTGGATAATTATAATACTCAAAATGCATATTTATTTGGACTTTGTAACAACCAACGTTTGTAAAACAAGAGCAATATTGTTGTAAACCCAAACATTTTTATAAGATATTAATGTAATTTCTCATTATTTGCAGAAAGTTCCCTAGATATGTACAAAAAAGTATTCCAGGAAAATTTTACTGATCTATGATTTCCGAGTTATTTTATGATTATTCTAGTAAAACCCTCTCAGAACAGGATCAATGAGGAGTAACGCCTAGAGTAAATTCTACTGAGCTCTTCGATTTTTTCTCTCTTTTTCCAAATATTTAAAAATTTCACCTAATGTGAATATTTAAACTTAAATAAAAAAAAATAGATTTAAATAAAAAAATTTGATTCTTTTAATTTTTTTAAAAAATCACGATTTTTATTAATCCTAAATATCTTGCAGGAATTAGTTTCGAAGAATATTGTCCTTATGATGGTGCCTTTCTCATTTATTACCTTATAAACTGTTCAATTAAAATATTATTTCCAAGGTATCCGGTTGAAGCATGACGTTTGCCACGCCATCGTCACCCCATTTCTAGACATAAGACCAACTGGGATACCCGTTACAATTTTTTGAATAAAAGGTCATCATAGTGGAGCGAAACCGGGAAAGCGGCTGAAGAGGACTCCTAACATCCTCTAACCCTAAGCAGGTTAAACCTGCAGAACTGAAAGTGCAAGGGTTAAATAATAAAAAATACTTATTCCCTTTCAGATAAATTTTGACATTCAAAAGATCTACAAGACATAATCACATATATCCTGTGACAATTATCATTTTACATTCATAATTATTCTGAATATCTTAACATCTGATAAATGTTTCTAACGCAACGATTCTTTTCTGTGTGTATTATACTTCCAAGCTACACATTTATATTGAAGAAATTTCAAACATTAATCTCACATTACCAAAAAGACAAACTGATGAGATGGAATTCACAAATTCAATTCTTCTGAAGTAGTTTCCATGAATCATATAAAATAAAGCACAACTTGTGCACAGGAAGTCTCCACATTATACTACAAAATGTCATTCCAACAGTACAAAGTAGCTCAGTGATTTCAAAGTGACCTGGTCAATTCTTTTTGTTGTTGTTGTTGTTGCTACCCAAAAATTTTGTTTGGTAACATACCCTTACACCATTCCCAATAATATGCAAAAAAATTCTATTTTGCTCGAATTGTTGAAATATAACGATACATTCTAAGGGATGTAAGATATTATGTTAGAGAAAATATCTGTAGCATGTCATCAATACATAAGTTCACTGCATGCGAGTTACTTTTAACTTCAAAAGTGGGAAGAGATTGTACTCAAAATATATCTTTCTTAAAAAATCAATGTTGAGTTGCATACAAAGATTTTTGCAATTTGGCAGATACATTAGTGTACAAATAAATGAGTATTCTTTTAAATTAATAAGTGTCAGCCTAATGTAAAAAGATACATTTTAAAAATTTTAATCTATTTTCAATACTTCAATAAAATGTTTATAAAAATTATATTCACATCACATAAAAATACATCTTCCTAGTTTAAGCTACCCTCAAAATCCAACTGAAGTCTATGCTACAACACTGGAAGTGCATGTATCATGACACATATTACTGACAAACATTAAACCTGCTAAGCAGGATTGGTAAACATGAAAAATAATTTCAAAATTAACAGTGGGACTTCAAAATATGATTGTGCTGTATGAATGCAAAGAGATTCTACTTGATTCTCTATTTCACTATTTCTTGTCATTTTATCAAAAAAACAGAGATCCAAGTGATAGAGACAGAAATAGGTTAGTATGGGTCTGATAGTTTCTACAATGGTAATTAGGGTTTCAGCATGGGATGTTTAATGCAAGACAAAGCCTCAATATCCCGAGCAATGATTTCCTAAGGTGGCAATACCATAATGTTTAACTTTGAAGTGATATTCTAATTTACGGGCATCATTTTCCCACACCAGAAAAGAAGAAAAAAGAAGTGGAAGGAAAAATAAAAACATAAAACAAACCTGGTGGTTTCCACGCTCTTTCCAATTCAACTTTCTTTTCTTCTCGCTCCTTTAACCAACGCTCATGGGCTTCAGCTTTTCTCTCCTTCTGACGTTTCTCCCTGATCAAAACAAAAAATGCAACCCATTATTATTTAGATTTTACATTTAATAATATTCATGTCAAAACACAATTATAAAAAACATACTCTTCAATTTCTTGGCACATTTCAGAAAGCTTGTCATCAGCATTACCAGATTTCACAAGCATAACTTCTTCCTTTAACTTTGCATACGTTTGTCTTCTTTCATTCAACAAACGTTTGAGTTCTTCAATGCGTTCTACAACATGAAATACAATAAAAAAAATTAATGTTTCAATATATACTACATAAAGAAACACAATGGATAATAAAAATCCAATTCCTCAGGAACTTTGACCGTTCGAATGCAACCACATTCACATCGTTTTCTCACTTTTTAAAGAATCTTCACCTCAATTCTCTCTCGCATGCAATTCTTTCCTCAATGTACAATTGGTCTACTCCCATGCCATTCTCTGTTTCACAGGCAAAAGCATAGAAATGCAATTTTAAGACTGCATTTTCCCACAAGAAACCAGGAAGACACAGAACGCAAATGTCAGAATTTCCTCTGAACACACTACAGAAATACTTAACATAATGCATAAAACATACAAATAAAGTGAAACAATATTTTGGGCTTTATCAGTAATAGGATTATGAATTTATAGGTCAAATGCATGTATAATTTTCTAATTTTCTAAACAAAGAAATTAATTCCCCACTTTGCCATTTAATGTTATTTCATTATTTCACAGTACCATGCCCACCTTTTCTTACACAATTCTCAAAGATTTTAAATATTTCTTTCAACATTACTGAGTAGAAATTAGTACATGTTATGGTAAGTCTCAGTTGAAAACCATGAAGATTCAACACTAATTCTAGATGACAGTTAATTGCAGTTAAATCATGTTAGAAAACACTCTGTATGTGCAAATATAGATGCCAGTAGCTCTGTGGCTTGTTGTGAGCAAATCCAAGCATTTTCTTGACAAGACCCTAACTTTGGGGTCATAGGCTATTTACCTACTTGTCATTTCTGTATCATCAATCTTCCACTCCCCATTCCCACTAACACAAATAAATCACAACATAATACCAACATACACTGCTAATGCACCACTGGGGTACCAGAAGATAATAAGGCTTGGTTGATAAATTTATTAGGAGTGAAATGTGGGCCATGGTACCCGGTGAGGTCCCACCAGCCATTTGAGGAAGTGAATGCTTCTTGGAGGAGGTGATGACCCAACTGGAAGCTGGGGGCTGCTACTACTACTACTACGCTTGGCAGAGCTACAAATCAGAGAGCTCCTGTTTATACCACTGGGACCTGGGAAGAATATGCTTTTAAAAAGTCACCACCTTCAACAATAAAGCACTAAACTTACTAAGTTGCATCACCGCAGAGTGAGGCCAATGTCTTAACAACAAAAGACAACAAGTTTAAACTTGGCAACCCAATAAATATATTATTTTTTATAATAGAAACGTACAGCATTTCAATATTGATAAAGAAAACGTAAGTTTTATGTTGCAGACAGCACATGTATTAAAGGAAGTTTGATTGCTCCTCTGAACTGTAAAGAAATGGTCCAACAATTCACTCACAGGCACACCCACACAACACTCAAAAGAAAATATAATTTTTATTCAAGAATAAAAGTGAATTATTTTTTACTTAAAGCCATATGCATACCCTGGGTAAGTCTTCTAACAATGCTTTCACTAGGTGTCTCCACACTTGAGTCACCCTTATCTGTCCGTTTCTTCCTCTTTGGAGTTTCTACATTTTCCAACAAATTTGAATACTGTACAGCACAACTCTTCTGAGAAAACCAGTCAGGAGGACGTCCAGGGTCTCCAAACGCTTTTAAAGATCGGCTCACTGACATCCTAGGGAAGAAAAAAAATTGAACGAGAGGAATATTATGAAAATATATATTTTGCCTATTTAATGACATACCAATTTTGATCGCCACTTCGCAGGACAGACGAAGCTAAACATAGCTGCTCCCTGATAGACCAAGTGTCTATCTGAGCCCTTTTAAGCTTCAACCCTGGAGACAAAGAAACATTACATCCTTGACAATGTCTACAATAGTTTGAAATACGTCATTAGATGAAAAATAGTTACGATAATCAGATAAATTTTCAAATAGATTCATTCTCCAATAGAACTGTCAATGAAATAAAATGAAATTGCAGTGTTAGCATACTTACTTTCCTGAACTGAAGTCATGTTCTTCAATTGGCCTCAATCAGATTGCACTTCTTCTTCTTTTCTATTTCACTGACACTTTGTTTCAAATGACATCGTCAGGGAAGTCGAGATTCGACGATATAACCTATAATGAATTGATCGAAATCATTACCATCACTTATTTGACATAACAGCTTAAATTCCTGTATTGTTAGAGAAATCAAAAGAAATCTACTACAACGACCAATATTAACTCATATTCGCAGAAAACTAAACAAATTTATACATGTGTAAACAAATCCCAAACAAACAAAATTTACACTCAGACTCAGCGCTCACCTTACGCAACCTTACGCTAGTCAAGGATAATCAAAGAAATCAGACGAACAGGCAGAGCAAGGAGAATCACTGCAGGATCACAGAGAAAACAAATCATCAGAGTACACTAGAATTTAAATAGCCATGCACATGACGTTTATCCACCGCTCAAGATTTCATCCAATCGAAAGCATGAATGTCAGTGACAGTTTAGTGACATATTACCTCTCGATTGGATGAAATCGCAATACATGATTTACGTCAAGTGCACAACAAAACAAATCGAACTATAAATAATGACTGATTTCACTGCAAGGCATCGTTCATCAGTTCGCTCAAAGAGCACTTAAAAATAAGTGTGCAAACATTTGAATAAATAATTATATTTATAGAGCACTTGAATTTCTGCTTTGGGCCTTACCATAAGGTGGAAGTTCAATAAACAAATTGAAATTTCGTAAACTAGGGCTATCGCGCTACGTTCAAATAGACGGAATTCGAACAATTAGAGATGTCCAGAATGACTTTGACACAGTTTGGCGGAAAAGCGTTGGACGACAAGCCCCGATGTGCACGTAGGTATTTCCTAGAGGTTTAGTAAGATTTTGGCTGTATTACGCGGTTACCGAAGTTTGCGTTTCTTGTCTCGTTTGTTATTTACAAATATATTTGCTTCCTTTTGGTTTGTTTAAATACTGGCAGCGCATCTCGTCACAAATTTTATTTAAAGAATCTCTGTTCTATCAGATATATTTCAAAAATACTACATTTTACTTTCTCGCTACCGCTTACGCAGGAGAGAGAAAGTTATGTAATGCTGAGGGGAAAAGCTGCGAATTTTCGACAGAAAAACTTATTGTCGGGCCCGACAATAAGCTGGTCTGACTGTCTTTTGCTGGTCTGACAATCTCGATATTACTCCTCCTGCTCAGAGGTGTGCAAGAGAGAGAGAGACACAGAGGAGAGAGAGAGAAAAAGAGAGAAGAGAAGAGAGGAATGATAGAAGCAGAACGTCTGCCAGGTTCCGAGTTATGCATAAGATGTGTACAGTTAATGGCACTTAGTTTCGTAGCATCCAATAGCAAATCAATCCATTATAAGATGATGATATATTGGATTGCATTTAGTCTGGAATGTTGATTTATATTTGAAATTGCTATTTTCTTAAAATGTTTTTCCATCGTATAAAACCGAACTTCCTTTACATATAGCACTTTACCTGAGTTCGAATGTTATACACACACACACACACACACACACGCACACACGGCCACACCACACGCACCACACGCGCACACGCGCACACGCGCAGCACGCACACACGCACGGCCACACACACACACACACACACACACACACACACACCCATTACGAAAGAGAAAGGGGCCCCGGTGGACAATGGACCAGTGGCAACGACGATCGGAGCAATCATCACTGGGCGATGACACTTTCGGGTCTTCCCCCGACATCCATGACGTGATCCAAAGGGAACATGGAGAATTAGATTTTATCTAAACTCAGCATGCTGACGGGGCATGGATGTTATCGAGGAGTATAGCCTCAGATCGGTGGACACGATGCTCTCATGCCCAAGGTGTTTCCGGTGATTGAAGATGTAGAACACGCTGTTCTTTCATTGTCCACGCTTCGCATGGGAAAGGGAAGAACTTCACAGACTCTCCAGAGGAAGTGACCCCTGAGACCAATCGTCACTTTAGGATGCGCTGACACAAGGAGACATTGGGCAGCTGCGCGTAGACCACCTATGCGCAAAGTCCTGGAGGTACGCTCCGCTCGAGGAGCAGTTACGAAGAAGATCCCGTTATATTTTCGGTGACGTGCGAAAAGACATTCCTTTCTTTCGCGATTTGCCAATGCCTGACGGCTGGTTCCGCGGAGAATTAGAGGAAGGGAGGGGGTTTTTAGTGGGTAGGCATTACCTAGCTATGAATCCCACACGCGCGGGGTTGCGGGCCCCGCTGTGTCTTTAGAAGATTTTCCCCTGCCCACGTAAAAAACACACACACACACACATATATATATATATATAATTTGTAAATTTTATTATAGACAATTGAATATTAATATATTCTCATTAAATATCTATTTTAATGTGGATTATAAGAGGCAAAGTTTTGCGGCCCTGTTGTGACCACGTGAGGCAGAAAAAAACTAAAAATACATGTAACTGCAAATGATAGACTTAAAATGAATTTTAAAAAATTAACTAGCGTACCCGTGCGAGAACTCTCACATGCTAATCCCCTTCCTTTCCCCATCCTTTCCATTAAGAAGGAAAGTTGTTAATGAAACGTGTTTATTTGTTTCAAAAATTATAAAAATGACTTCGTACTCACAGAATATCAAACAAAATAATAACGCGATTGACGTTTGAAACGTTGACGTTTGACGATTGACGTTTGATTTTCAATAAAGATTTATTCAGTATTATACAGATATTTTCTTTGAACAATTCACACTTCCTTAAAAAACATTTGAAGTAATTAATCAATCTTTCTTGACAGTTGGCTTTTCGCTTTCCTTGATAGTCACAAAAATATTAGAAAATATTTTTACTCTTGAGAAAGTCAAGTAACGTTTTCCATGCGAACATCGGGCTAGTTTAACCCTACTCTTTGCAATATTATTTAACTTTCCTGGATTTGTTACTAGGAAAAGAGGGGAATTTAGAGTGGCAGGGCACAAGCTTGCTGAGATGCAAAAACTGAAACATTATTTGTATAATAAAGAGTATTGGATTATTTTCTGCGTTCTTATGTACCTCAAGAAAAACAATGCCAAGCCAAAAAAATAATAAAACAAATATTTTAACTTTTGAGTAATTACACCATTTGTTACCATTAGAAACTATTCATTAGGCTTGGACTTTACTTCGTTGCATAGGAATGTTGCTCAAATGATGTTTACGTATTGAATATCTTAGCGTACTGACCCCTTAAGTTTAATATCAAACGGTGTATTATTTATATGAGTTTACAGTTGGACTTCCAAATACCGCCAACATTTAAATCGTGCGTCTGGATCGTGACCGTTGGCAGAAGTCGAATGACGCGCTATTTTTTCTATAATTTTAAATTTGGCTGCTTTTTTAAATTAATTCACGTAGTATTGTAGGCCGGCGCGTTTTAATTTTTGTTGTTCATTTATTTCAAGCTATTTCAGTTTAGTTAATTCAAAAAGTGTTTGTTCTTCTTTTATTTTTTGATTTAAGGACGCATTAACGAGGTCATTAGCGACCATTATTGCGTGGAACGGTATGGTAACTATGAGGTTGATCCGATGTGACGATGAGGGGGGGGGTGAAAGGACGAACACAATACAACCACGCCCGAGGCGGGACTCGAACCAGCGATCCTTCGGTCTGAGATTGCTATGGCACTACTGCCGGACCGCTTTTTGTACTTTGTGTTGGGCCATATCACACGTTTTTTTCCTTAATACCGTCGTGTACCCGTGCGAGAACTCTCGCAGGTTAAACCTCTCACTCTTCTCTATCCTTCTATTTCCATTCTAAGAGGGAAAGTTGTTAATGAAACGTATTTATTTGTTTAAAAATGTATAAAGGTAACTTCCATTGAACTAACATAACATCTAATACAAATATAAACCCTCCACGATTAGATACACAGAACTTGTTGACCTCGGTAAAACGTTAAATGAAGGTATTCACCACACACATAAGAAATAATCATCGGTATCAAGCAACTTTTAATAATACCTCTAGTTGCTGCTGTGAGAGAGAATTTTGAATTAATAATTATGGAAATAAACCTCGTCAGTAGGCGCAAACCACGGTATACGCAGAAAGATTAAAAGTATAAGAATAAGAATCTAAGCCTTCTAAGTGTGATACAAAGGTGGCCACCATCTGTGAAATACAGGTGGCATTGGTAGTATCGATAAGTGCGGAAACAGAAAAAAATTGATAGTATGTTCGAGAATACCCTATCCTGTAAATTATGGTTTGAGAAACGTTTCTTTAATGCTGTTGGCTTCGAAATTTTTAGTTTTTTAAGGTCCCCGGAACATTTCGTTTAGGAGTCACAGCAGAGTGAGTGTTGCGGGTTGCATTTGGCATAACTATATAGATGCGTTTTCTAAGTTCTCTTCATTCATATTTTTTAAGTCAAACTGTAATTCTTCCCGTCTCCGTGGAATTTTCTTTAGAGTTAGATGTTTAGCGACCTCATTTATAAAGATCGTTTGCGTATGAGAGACTCAAAAAGTATGTATATTACTGAAATAATAGAAAAGACTATTTAAATACAGAATATTAAAACAAGAGGATGCCACAATTAATAACATTAAAACATTAGCAAAAGTGCAAAAAAATAGAAATTGTAAATTAGAATTTCCAGCGCTTCGTTTGACGGGTGATAAAAAATAATTTAAAACTTACATATATATAATTTGGAATGACAAATAGTGTTAACTTAACAACTGTGCGTCCGGCAGTCTATCCGTCTGTGAGCAACACAATACCATAACTATTTATAGTATATTTTCCAAAATAATCCCTGGTAGATCAGATTCGCCTCAAAGCTCTGCTATTTTCGAAAACATTCTTCAAATTTTACACGAACCTCCTGGGACATTTTTAACATTTTTCTCATAAACGGATCCAATTTTTTCTTTCTTTCTCTTATGAATGTAAGACGAGAAAGTATCACCGGAAAAAAAGAATCGAAACAGCGAATTTTCGGGAGAAAAACTCTTACTGCCGGGCCCTGTTAAGGAAAAAGGGGATATATCATGCTCCTACACATAATAAATTGCTTCCTCTAACAAATAGTGAAGCCAGAAATCATGTTTTGTAGGTCCCAAATTGCGAAAAATCGATTGACAGCAAAACGTTAGTCTGTCTATTCGTCCGTGATCAATGCCAGCGCTTAAGCCTTTCAGCCGATTTTCTCCAAAATCGATTTCCCCTGACGATTTGAACGCATTTGAAAGTATCAAAATGATATTTTGATTGTTGAAGGTACATTACATAAAGCCTCAAATGAAAGCCACATAAACCTCAATCTGCACGCCTTTGGAAGTATCAAAAGATATTTGATTTGTTGACGGTACATTACATAAAGCCTCAAATTAAGCCACATCAAGCCTCAATCT